TTGAACGGCGGCGGCGAGAGCAGCGCGGTGAAGGAGCGCGTGGAGCTGCTGCGCGGGCTGGTGGAGGGCGAGAAGAGCGACTACAACCGCGAGAAGCTGCAGGAGCGTCTGGCGAAGCTGAGCGGCGGCGTGGCGGTGATAAGGGTGGGCGGCGGCTCTGAGGTGGAGGTGAACGAGAAGAAGGACCGCATCACTGACGCCCTGTGCTCCACCCGCGCCGCCGTGCAGGAGGGCATTGTTCCCGGCGGCGGTGTGGCGCTGCTGCGCACGTGCAAGGCGCTTGACAACTTGCTCGGTGACTCGTCACTCACGGCGGACCAGCGCACCGGCGTGCAGATCATCCGCAACGCCGTTCGGCTGCCTGCGCACACAATTGTGCAGAACGCCGGGAAAGAGGGCGCTGTGGTGGTGGAGAAGGTTCTGGAGGCCAATGAGGCCGCCGTTGGCTACGACGCGCAGCGTGACCGCTACGTGAACATGTTTGAGGCGGGCATCATTGACCCCACCCGCGTCGTCATTGCGGCGGTCACCGACGCCGTTTCCGTCGCTAGCCTGATGATGACTGCGGAGGCCGCTGTCGTGGACTTGCCCAAGGAAGAGAGCCCTGCGGCCGGTGGCATGGGTGGCATGGGCGGCATGGGTGGCATGGACGGAATGTTCTAGTTTGTTGCGCTGTGAGTATCGAGTTACAATGGTTTAGGACTTTTTTATTCTTATTTGTATTGGTTTCGTAGCAGAATTTTATTGCTTATCTAATGTTTTAATTTTTTTGAGTAGGACTTTTTTTATTTTACTATTACTATTACTATGGAGTAAGTTTTCTCACGTTTTCACAGGCAATTAAGTGTTTTCTGTAGAAAAGAAAAACTTGAAGAATTGTGCGTTGAAGTTGTGTAACTGAAATATCTCGCTTCTGTTGGCTCTTTTCACTGTATCTTTTTTTTTTGCTTTAATGGGTTCATGGCTTTTGCTTTGATTCTCTTTTGGTTCTTTTCGTTTTGTTGTAGTTGCTGCGAGAACCAGGGTGTGTTTGTTGAGCGAGATGACTGGCGAGGACATGTGGGTGCGATTTGCGCCGAATGGCCGCCCGAGCGACACGATTGTCGAGGTTTCAACGGGTGGTGGGCTGGGGCAGCGGGGGCGGCAGTTGCTTGCGGAGTTGCCGCTCAATGCGGAGCCGAGTGACGCTGCGATGGGGGAGTTTGGGAAGACTGGCAGAAGCTGTTGCCGCAACCCAAGGGCCTCCGTGATGTCCTCGCGTAGGGATCCTCTGTGGCAGGCGACGCGGTTGACGTCGCCGTACTGTGTCTTGATGGCGAATGGCGTTCAGGATGACTTTTACACTTCCTGTCTCTCATGGGGAAGGGAAAACGTTGTGCTGGCACTGCGAGATGAGGTGCTTCTCTTTCAGCCGTCACGTTCCCCTGTGCGTCCGGCGGTGCTGAACTTAAAGGAGCGTGGGTGTGGCCTGGCGTCTAGAGTGACGTCTGTGGCCGTGAGCCGTTTTTCTGACAACTCATGTTTTCTTGGGGAGCTGGACGGTTCTGTTGGTGTCTACGCATCGCCCGGTGACGGGCCACTGGTACGGACGAGCAACTTCGCGAAGCCACCCTCGCCGCTGGAAAACACGCCTCTTGCTGGGGAAGCTGCGATGTCCGCGACAGCGAGTGTGCGGTGTTTAGCTACGACAGACGTTCACCCATGGTTGGTGGCGGCTGGTACGGCAGCGCAGGGTCTTTTTATTCTCGACAGTCGCTGTCCAACACCTGCTGCGCAAATAATGGGGTGCGACACTTTATTTTCGCTTGATAGAAAGCGGGCAAAGCCACCTCTCACCCCGGAGGACCTGGTGTCGTTGCTTGCTTCTGCAGAGGGCATATGTGGCGTTTCCTGGAATGCGTCGGGTTCGCTTGTTGCTACGGGTGGGAGTGGCGGGGTTGTGAACATATGGTCTCTCTCCCACACACGTGCCCCTGTGCAGCAGATTAGGCTTCCCAACGCACATACTACTGTCAAGGCGGTCGCATTTCACCCCACACTCCCGTATGAAGTGGCTGTTGGTGGGGGCAGAAATGACGGCATGTTGAGGTTGTATGATGTCTCATCCTCAGTGCCGCAGCTTGCGTGGTGTGTCTCTACTGGCTGCCAGGTGACACAGGCGCTCTATTCCCCTGATGGTGCATTTGTTATTTCCGCCCAGGGTGATCGACACGCTAAACCGACTGCTGCTATGAATGCCGTTGATGGTGACGCACAGCCCCTGGCCCCACGCACGCTTCATCCTGCGGGAGACGCTGGGGACGTGCGTCGGGGAGGCATGAATCCCCTGGAGCGTCTGACGGTGGAGTTTGAGCGCGGCATGACTCGTAGTGGCCGTGCGCAGGAGGGTTCACAGGAACCGACTCCAAACTACGGTGAGGCGGCTATCACTGGGACGTGTGATTCGCGCCGCAGTGGGGATTCCCCGGCATTCGCGTTGGTCATGTGGCGCAGAGGCACACAACACCGTGACAGTATGCCTCTCGGCTTTGCCAGCTCCAGACCCACGGCCCATTCAAGAAGCCGGCCCATGCAGGAGTCAGCGCAGTCGGCACTCCCGCTTTTTTCAATGTACGTGATGACCGGACACCGCTCTCGGCCGCTCCAGTTGACTGCTCCATTCTCAAATACGTTGGATCGGGGCTCCGTCGTTTCCCTTGCCGGTGGCGTTGACAACACGATTCGGTTTTGGAAGTGTTTCAGCCCCAGGAATGAGGCGGCTAATTGGGAGCAGCGTAACCGCGCGTCAATGAGAGCCGCTGTCACAGACGAAGATGTGAAGGGGATGATGGCTACGCCACTGAGGTGATCCGACCGCGCAGGTGCATCATAAAAGGAGACTGAGAGACACTTCTGTGGCGCATTGCACCCAGGTACGTTATACTGCCTAGATGCACGTGCCTGCACCGCCCTGCTTTGTTCTGCAAAGCATTCCCATAGAGAAGTAAACAACTATTATGCTGCCTAGATGGTGATTGATTCCCTCTTGGTAGTGTGTTTTCGTACTGTTGCGATTATTATTATCTATTTTTTTTTTCAAAGAACCATTTCCCCCCTCCCCTGCAGCAAACTTG